ATATAATATAATATGCAGGATATTAGTAATTTGAATATGGTTAGCTCCCGAACAATAGTGAGATTCAGCATATCGTACAAGGCGATACTACTGAAACTGTGGTGTTTGAAAAAGGTTAGGGTAGACATTTCTGTCCATTTTGTGTTTTCTGGGAAAGCATCTTGGGATGTTTGTTCCAGCTAAACATTAGGTCCCTACCCTATCCTTTAGCCATCAGTTATATTTGTTTTGTATACCTGCTGACCGCGTATTCTGACGTATTCCAACATGTTTCGCGCATGTAAGCCCCAACGCCTCCTGCACGAGGCTGGGTAGAAGGCGATTCGATTTTCAATAGTTGAGCTTGGCTACGATGTCTTATCTATAAACCTGGGCAGATTCATTCAACAACTGAACTTTCCAGCTGTCATGCAATCGCCTTCCGTTGTTGCGGTGAGACTTACAAGGTAGAGCGGTGTTCCATAACAGTAGTATATGTAAGTTTGATGTCCTGTCTGCCTAGTTTAGGTTATGGGCCAGTTATACTTGCTTTCAAAAGACTAGTGAACATTCTGTCTCACAAGTGGAGAGCGGTGGTATACTCCTCTCTCACAGCAGGCAGAACTGTCGCTTAACCTGTTCCGCTTTTGGATGCGAACCTTCCTCTTCGGTAGGGACCAGTTCGGCCTCATTGACCGGACCCGTTCCATTGGTAGGTGCTCGTGTGGCCCATCAAAACGGTTCGGACATGTGATTTTGACACTGACAAAGAATGTACTTTCTTGTTTCGCGGAAATTTCATCACCGTCTCACCATAGTCTGTTTGTGGGTGGCTGAAGCTTTCCTGAAGCTCACTCAAGCGTTCTGTAGGGATAGTTTAATCGAAGAAAAAGATAGCACGCAACAGTCGGCACCAATTATGGTCTGTCTTCATCTGGTAGCTACTTCGTCCGTCTTGGTTCTGTTTCCACTTGTCTCTGCAATTTGAAAAAGTGCAACCTTGCCCAAACAAATAAACTAACTGCCTTTAGTCTGGGTGAAAGCCAAAGACAATCGTAACAACCTCCAGACTAATTGAGGTGAATTTTTGTTAACAACGCAATCTAAAGCGAGTTCTTGATCACTCAGATTCGTAATATTCGCTAAACCGTATTGCACGTTCCTTTTTTTTGATACCTTGGGGATTCATCAGCTTTGGAGTCGTCTAGGCTAATCTGTCGGAAACTTGCAATTAGAAGTGTGGGTTGATTGAAAAATGCAGACAGTCTCACCTGAATTTATTTCAGTTTCATCTATTAAATCTGCTGAAGAGACCACACGTGTCTGGTTCTCTTTTTCTCCATGAGCCTACTCTAAAGTCTTCCACCTCTCACCCTGTGTGGTACAACACCAAAAAGCCCGTTCAGATCGAAAAAGGGAAACTCCCTGTTTTTAATTTATTCGGTTTTTACTCGAAAATAACTGAACATCAGTTGACAGGTTTCCTAAGATATGATTTTTTTTCCTTGGTCCAGTCCTCCTGTTTGTCAGTTGGTTTGTGACATTTGACAGAAAGCAATTGAAATTCGATACACTTATGGCGGGTTTTCGATGCACCATTCAGTTTTGGACTCGTGTATGAAACTTAATAGTACCACAGAGTTGAACGCTTAGCTCGAGTCGATTCGCTTTTGTACTTCCTCAATATGAATGAACAAGGCGATGATAAGTGGATAGTCGCTCAGTTGGCTATTCTGAAATTTCCAACAAACCCTTCTGCACTTTCGGTTGTCGAGCGATCGCCCCCAGTGCGCATTCCCTACAAGAGGATTTACCGGTCAGAAGAAGGTCTTTCTGACTGGCAGCTAAAACAACGAGTTGAAAGTTTTGCTTTCAACAAAGGTGTTGAACGCTGATATCCAAGCCACAAAAACAAGTGTGCGCGTCACTTGAATTGACTGAAAACATGTGCTAAGATTTTGGGTGATTTATTCTATCACAAGTGCAAGGCATGCTTTTTAAAACACTAAGGTTGTTTGTTGATTCCCCCTGATGGCCATATGGTTCGCGTCAACGTTTTCTTCCATATAGTTCGTCAGGTACTTCGTGGTGCGTCGGCAACCGCTGGTCTCACTGGTTGTGTTGTGTTGCGTAATAAGAGTATAACCAGCTTATGCGTGAGACATAAGCTTTTCCAACCAGCGACATGCGTTCGTTCGACTACAAAGTTCGAGATGTGTTTGATTTTGCGCTTTCCCGATCACTTATTCATCCTAACTATGCAAGCATCTCCGAGGTAGAACGGATTGACCTTACGAGAGACACAAAGCGGAAAATCAGAGTTTAATGAATGCTAACCAGCTTTTAATCTACGCCGCGAAATTCAGGAATACCGTACACAGTGGTTTTGCCCTTGTTCGAAACATTCAGCCGCGAGTATCTCACGAGGTTTCCGGGAGGTTTGAACCCTAGACTGTCCGCTTAGTACCTGAGGTCAGCCTCGAATGACCGATTACTAGAGTGAGAAGTTAGCACTAAGAAAGAGTATGTTGCCACTTTCTTACTTCAAGACAGTACGCGTCATATGGTTGAATGTTTTTGTACAGCAAATTCTCTATTGGTCAGTATCAGACCCCATCTGGCTGCAGTTGCCTTCGGATCACGAAAATCGACAAATGAACAACAGACTACTGGTATTTCGCGGAATTCACTTTAATAAACCGGTTGATAATGTTGTTATGTTGCTTGTGCACCTATCTATATTTTTGAATGTAGTGAGCACACACAAAACATCATCATGATTTTCACCCACTTCTAGCTCGTTGCGCACTACCACCTGAAGGATTCCTCTTCAAGCACCAGTCTTTCAGACCACTCAAGCACCCGGTCGTTCACTCCGAACACAAAGACTCCAATGCGCTACATCGGTAAGCAGGATTCTGCGGAAGCATTCCAACAACAGCCGCCCACGCAGTTGGGTACCGCCTTCTCCTCCGAATTCCGCAGTCCTTCTTTAACCCATCAGGTCACTGATGAATCCACAACTTCTGAGACTCAACGGCTTCATCCAGTCCCACCTCCAGTGCCCGTCACTCAACCATCCACAGTCTTTCCTGGCTCTCAGCCAGCACCTCCCCCACCGATGCGATCCTTCAAACAGACCCTCTCTCCGCAAATGTCTCAAGCAGTCCGACCCGAGCTTGGACAAACAACGGTGACCACATTTCGAGGTAAGTCCCACGTCCTACCATCAACTTGTGTTAAACACTTTGAGTTTTATCATGTCAACTAATGCCCAGAGCACACTGCCATGCAACTTTTTAACTTTTTATCTGTCTACGTACATTTTGGAGTATATTGTCCTCTCTGTAAAACACACGGTACTTCTCGCCGAGAATGCTCAGTCAGATTCAAAACTATACCGAATCTTTGGCGCTCCTAAATCCCAATCAACAGCCAGGTTGGAGCACAGCGCCATCCAGTTTCGGTTTTACTGCTAGAAGAGTCATACCACCTACATACCCATCGGCTTTCGCTGTCGAAAGCCAAGATCCAGATGTCTTTGAGTATGACGACGTCATTCTGAGAAGCACAGTGCTCACAGAGGGAGCTTTGTTTTCTCAAAACCGGCTTTGCGGAAGATTTATCCGAACTCTTGTAACTGGCGTTGCCAGATCAATTTGGAGAATCGTAAAACATCACTAGTCTGTCGTTTCAAAGTACTTTCAGGATTTGCCAGTGGTCGAATATATCTAATGTGCGAGCATAGTCAGTTTTAGCAGGTGGAGCCCCACACGCGTTTGTTAGTAAAGACCGCAGGGTCGCACTGTTCACATAGGGCTTCGTTCCAATGCATATTTCTGAGCTTCTTTGTTGAGCGGTGTGAAGTTCCGTGAGGGCCTTCCTCGAGTTGTTGATGCATGCTCCTATTTCTTATCATGCTTGTCCAAGTTGGAGGACGATGAAATAGAAATATCTGAGAAAATCATATCGTCTGCACACAGTTGACCACGTCTGTGGAGACGTCGTTGCAGCTAGCCCAGGGCTGTCCTAATCAACATTTTCGAGAAACTACTTGAGTCCTTTAACCGTGCCATTCACTTCACTTGACAAAGATCACCTCAGAAAAGGAACTTCATTTAGCCGAGTGGTTGCCCCCATTCAGATGATTTTTCACAGAATCGCAGGCGAAGCAGTGGTAAGCGAGTAGGTAGTGTCATTTCAAACGAATTGCCAGTGATTGACTGCGAAAAAATGCCGAATGGACATGTGGTGAAAGGAAGGACGGAAGGTTGAAAGGGTCATCTGAGATCAAGCTGGGAGACAGATCCAAGAGGGTAGCTCAACTGTCCTCGGGATGTCCTCTGACTGAGTAAGGTGTGTTCGAACTGACTAGGCCCTGGTAAGTGAGACAATTGAAAGAACGCGCAAGTCACGACAGTAAGGTCATGCAGGAATAGACGAGATTGTGCGTACTGGTGACGGCGGCACGATGAGTCGGTAAATCTTCGAGTTGCCCATGATTGTCGAGCAGTTGACAAAGTTCAAATGCAGCCGATCCGCTCCAAATGTATTTGATCATGCTCATAAGCTTCGGGCTTGGAAATTCAGGCGCTTTCAAAGTGCACTGTCAGATGTTGGAAACGCGCTCTTCTCGCATGTCAGATATCCCAAGTTCGAATCCCTGCACGGCCAGGGGTATGCACTTTTGGTGAGCTTTGGAAATAGCACAATTCGAGTCAAAGGTGAGGAGTTTTTGAGCGATGACGATTTTGTTGCAAGTGCTTGTCAGCCTTTGGATAGACATTGACCTGTAGTAACCTTCCATGTGACTGGTTAACAGAACACGGAGTGAGTAACACACGTGAGTCTGTCATTGTGTCCACTTTGTGTCAGTGTGAACCACGGCAAACATCCTACAGCAATTCCTCTTAATGTACCGCCCGACTCCAAATCCGTTCACACCGGAGGGCGAATCGCCTGCAGAGACACCACTACTCTACCGCACTCTCCGAAGCACCTTTGATCTTCTGAAGCCTCCAAAAGAGGTGGCATTATTCTACTGTAATCTAGCATGGTGCAGAGTGGCGCCATTTCAACATCGAACAGAGCGTGCTAGTAAAGGACTATCGTGGTAATCGCGTATTCCGGCGTCAAGGCAAAATCACTCGGCGAATCGGAAATACCGTCTATGATGTTCGCGTGGGTTCTGAAACGTGGGTTCTTCATGCAAATCAGTTAAAAGAAGCTTGTTCACAACCCACCCAGAGATTAAATGCTTTGCCTCTGAACATTTTGATAGGACACCTGGACATGAGCAGAGGAAGGACAACCGACCCTCAGGTTGCGGAGCACCTGGCAGAAGCGCCTGTGTGTCAACAATCACGAAGGACGAGACGCAGAAGAATGCCGAAGAATGCAGAAAACTCAAATTAATCCGAGACAGAAGACTTATACTACTCGCCTTCAAAGGGGAGATATTAGGAGAACCAACTCCGAACATATCGGTACTACACAACTGCCAATGGAAGAACTGTTTTTCGTTGGAACAGATTTCATTGGTTGTTCTTCACTCGTCCTTGACGGATGAGTTGTATTCTTGGTATCACTTTTGACCGCTTGTACGCGACAGTGATCAATGGAGCCGATGACTCACTCTTTCTGGTTTGGCCAAGCGTACCAGCCGATTAAGCGGCTATCCAGACCGGGGTTCACGGTAATATGAAAGCATTGAGGAGACTGTGGTTCACAACAGTGACCCAGAGCAAATTTGATGATATTGTGGAATCGCTTGTTAACTTATTTCACCGGCTACTGAAACACCATCACCAGGCAACGCAGATCAACGAGCTAACGGTATAAAGAACAACGAGATATTCCTCTCTGATCAGTCCCCTCTGGATATTTAGATCCTCTCCGCCAAACTATACCAATTAAAGCACAGTTAAAAGACATTCCCGTAACAGCTCGCTGACAATATCTCCTCGGATGCTGATTGGCCAAATCCCACAAACTCGACAATTTTAGATGACTTTTACAGAGGAATAAGTGTAGATAATATGAAAATACAAGGGAAGCGTATGGAAAAAAGAGAAAATTACATCTTCACCTTTCCGTCGAATCCACCAGTGCCTGATTTTGTTTTCAAAGTGTCGTCAAGGACCATCACAACTTACGCATTCGAGTTTGGATGCATAAAAATTCTCTCTCTCACACACACACACATGGTCGATCATATTTTGACACAATGCAGTCCATTCTAGACACCCATCCTCCACGGATGATTTGAATTGGCCACAAAAGAACCAAACAGCCAGTACGTTCATTTCGCGGACGGGTTCTATGTAAATCCGGAAAACAAATGTCCTCGACGAGTGAATGGAATGGGCACATACGTCATGTCTCTTTCTGGGGAAAATGTGTTTACAAAAACGGAATAGTAACACATCCCGCTGTGTGAACCAATACGGTTTCCCACTATCGATTTCATCCCGAAACTGACGTCAGACCCCACTGAAAAGCCAAACAGAATTGTTCGGTGGTGCTATCTCTTGTTGGAAATAACCCCCCCCCCAGGCAACAGTTTAAAAATTCGTAGGTTGCCTTCAGTTCACATGGTAAAAAAATCCAAAATGTATACTATAAACTACTCTCCTCGCTTGCGACATCGTAAGGTTGCCCAATCCTGGGCGAACCTTTGTCCTTAAAGACTCCATTCGGGAGTTGGCCAAAAATGCAAGCGTTTTACTCAGTCCAGATATGAGCTAAACGCGTCGATAACCAGAGGACAGGCGGACTTGCAGATGAGTCTGCATCCTCAGCGACGATGTTGAAGGAAGTATAGGTTGAACAATTCAGCACAAGTCACCATATGATGAGAAATAACTGAGGGTAAGCAAAACTGTCAATATCGAAACCAGCACTAAATGTGGGACAACTGATTTTGACGTTAGATTCAAGCAACCCGTTCACCGATACTCCATTTTGAACACAGAAAGGTGTGAAAGTTCATCACTCCGTTCTACGTATACATCACTACAACACTACTATGTCATTAGTAGTAGGTCCATCTGGCGAAACTGCCTCAAATGGCTTAGCTTGAAGATCATTTATTCCAGGCGTTACTCATACTGAAGTTTCTACATGACAATAGCATAGAGGACAGTGAGTGTCCTCAATGGTCGGAGATCGACAAGCAGTGTGAACTTTCATCGTCAAATGTGGCGGTGCATTTGTGTAGCTAATTTGGAAGATGTTTTGCGCAGCTGTTCGTATCAAAGCCGGCCTGCGTCGCACGCCATCCCCACGTCCACCTGCACACGCCTTTGTATACTCGATTGACATAAAAAACGAACAGCACGTTTAGTTAGCACTGATATAGTTATTAGGAATCACCGTGTTTTTCCCAGTCACTGCTGCCCTTGAACACACCTGCTTTCTGTAACAGTTGCTGCTGCATAAAAACCGGAAATTTATTCACTGGAAGAGTCAAATGAGTGGTTCGCCATGCTACTCCTCGTGCACCAAGTACCTTTTTCTTTTTTGCGTGGCATACAATTTATAAGTGGGCAATTTCTTGGCTGATTGTGGTTGTTAATTTTCGCATATTTCATCGGTTCTTAAAGCCAGCGGGAATTGATTGATACTACTCGTCCCGTGCAAGTAGTATCGCCGATATCAAATAACATACCGGTCTGCCACAAGTTACTAAAATGATTTGAGGCTTTGTACTACAACTGAAGTCGGTCTATATTGATAAACCAAGAACTGGTGAAAATCATTAGCAGTGTGTATGTGTCTGTTAAATCGCAATTGAGATTCGATCTGAGACTGACAACTTACCCATACCCATAGAGTGGCTGCCCTAAATTTCGGAGCGTTTTACCCATCTTTCAAGTTGTATTAGTACCGATTTTAGTGTGTAACAGATGAGATAACTACATAAATCTGTAAGGCTCGGGTCACGTTTGCTAATAGGTGCTATCTCTTGTTGGAAATAACCCCCCCCCCAGGCAACAGTTTAAAAATTCGTAGGTTGCCTTCAGTTCACATGGTAAAAAAATCCAAAATGTATACTATAAACTACTCTCCTCGCTTGCGACATCGTAAGGTTGCCCAATCCTGGGCGAACCTTTGTCCTTAAAGACTCCATTCGGGAGTTGGCCAAAAATGCAAGTGTTTTACTCAGTCCAGATATGAGCTAAACGCGTCGATAACCAGAGGACAGGC